AATTTAGAACCTTCTAACGATCTAATTACGAATAATTTATAAGAAACAAGTGTCAAGATACCCGTTGTCATCAATAATTTTTTTCCCCAAAACCACATAAAACAGTCGTTAAATTCTAACGCGAATCTCTGATAAAATACAAAAATGCACGAATCCTTCTCAATAAATAAAACAAAAAGACATATAATATAAAATCATGTGTCAAGTGTCCATTTATGATGTCCAATAACGACAAAATGTACAGAACTCAAACTACAGATAAACTAGCACGTACTGATGTAAAATGCATACCAACACCAACCAATAAAAATCAACTCTATTCCTACCAAAAAATGAATAATGAATCAATAATACTAATATTATAAAAACCAAAATTAACTTAAAAAAGGTTCAAAAATGGTGGATGCGCCGAGTTCAAAAAATCTTTTAACAATAATTAAGCRTGTAATTAATGCGAGTCCAAAATCRCTTTAACTTTTAGTTTTAAATAAATGTTGTAATAACTGAAAAAGTTAAAAAGGATCCATTTACGCCGYCAGTTACCCTCTTCAACTTTTAGCTTCTTACAAAAATATCTCAGTTGCAACGTTTCCCCCAACTTGAGGAAAATTACAGGAACATCGATATTAATATCTCTGACAGTAATTTGCCTATTTTAGTGATATGAAAATTGTTCYGCCATATTTRAAAATTTGCAAATGCGAAAAATAAAATCCGAGGCATAATTAAAGCCTTATCTTTGTTCTCCATTCCATTCTACTTATTAGGACAATTACTAATAACCGCGGATTGTGTGAAATTTCACGAGGAAGTCTGCTTTTAATGGCTCTCCAACTACTCCAAACTCACCCTCTTCAAATATGAAATACTTTGGGTCTACAAAACCCCAAAAAATAATTCCGCCATTAACTTTATCTAATCCGATCGTACAAACTCCGTAATCCATCAAAATCGCATGACTACTATACTATAAACTCAGCAATGAATATCGTACGAATTTTGGCGGCAAACATTTTTCGACCAATAACAGTGGTCGTAGTTGCTGCGCGCGCACTTTTACTCGCAAGTGACGTCACGCTGAAGATCAATAACAAGGCAGGCGAAATCAAGTTGGCGGTTACGAGTACGTTGATTTAGTTAATGTGCGATAAAAATGGCAAAGGCTGCTTTTTTACAAGAAAGGTAAATTAAATGTTTGCTAAAATCGGAGTGGTTAGTGATTGGCAATTTGAGTTTTGAAAATGGCGCCATTTTTGTGTCAATTTTGAGGCTTTTTGAGGAGAAGTATGCCGGAGTGCTTGACAGGAATTGTACGGGGAACGATTTATTTATCAGGTTAAGGTTTATTGGAGCGGTTTATTGCACTTGATCGAAAGTGGTGTCTGATTAAGTAGAAAGTCGTCTTTTCTATTTTTTTAATTTAATCAACAAGTAACCAAAGTGCGGCTTTTTAAAAAGTGGTTCATAACTCAGGGCCCTTGAATTAAGTTAGGATTTATTGCATCCCGAATGGTGGTGAACCATGACGTACGAGAGGTACTTTAAACGTCAATTTATTACAACCAATTGGAGTTTAATTAATTTTATAATATTCATTGTAGGAAATTACAATGAGTTGTCCTTTCAACCCTTATCTCTTTTATATTAAGTTACTGAAAATTTCCGACAAATTTCCTCAATGATTGATCGTTTAAAGATCAATAACCAATTTATTTTATTATTCTGGCCCACCACTTAATTATAAATTAACAATACCCAAATTAGATCAAGGGTAATTCCGGTCAAAGTGCTTGATTTTGACCAATACTGACGTTATGTGTCATCTGAAATCCATGGAGCTTGCCAAAAATCGCATTTACGATGATCAAAAAACTACTTTGGTCTAAGATTCTGTTTCAATTTGGGTTTGATTTTAGAACGTATCTCCTTAAAAGGTCTTAAAAAGCACTACAGTTTTAATGAATTAATGGTATTCCAGTTTACCTTAAAAAAATAAATTAAAGAGCCTAATTTATTACGTATGGAAATTTCGATTTGTTTTATTTTTAGCTTTATTTGAGTTTAGTTTAAGCTTACAAATTAATCAGAGAATGTTTAATTTATTCTTAAAAAAATGTAATTATCTAATTTAATTCAGAGCTTTCACTTTGATAAATTATAATTTATTCAAAAGATCCAATTTATTCAGTAATATTTTTTATTTTTGACACAAATTTCTTATTTTTAGCTTTTATACTTAGACATTTCATTTTTTTCTTACTTCCACGGCGTTTTAAATTAGTTTCTTTCAGTTGTAGTGTCAGTTGTATTTGATCGTTCATAATTAACTAAAACTTATTTAGAATCGGTTAAGCTTTGATAGAAAATATTTTAAAAATAATTCTCGACTTTTTTTGTTCAGAATTTCTGTTCCTACTTTTTTACCTATACAGAGTGTCCGAAATGTCGCGTAGCTCCGTGACACTGTATCATCGGTCGGTGCCCTAGACAACAAGAAAAATGTAAAAAAAACTATCTACAAAAATTTCGAGGTTATGAGAGTTTAAATTTTGCACTAATTTTCCAAGTTTTTTTGCTACACGCTATTAGAAGAGAAATCAAAGAAGCTGTATCCTCAATTATAACACTGTTTAATGTTATTTGTGGCTTTTATTGGCAAAATTTTTGTACTTTTACTAAGCAGTTATAAAAAAAAACATATACAAGATGTCAAATGTCAAAAAATAAATGTTAAAATTTTTTGCCAGAGAGTTTTTTAAACATTTTTTCAGTACTTTGCGGGACTACCCAATTACTCCCTTTCAAGGAGATGCACGACTTTCCGGGCACTGTAGATAAACACGACTAATTTTTTTCATTTCTATTTTGCTCTCTATATCTAGTGCGCTTTTTAAAAAACATAAAAAACAACAGTCCAATAATAAAAACAAAACTATTCTTGTTACGAAAAATATTCAAAGTCGACAAAATCATAAAAGACAATAGTAGATTACATTTGAGATGGAAAATGTGACATTACACTGAGAGCTGAGGTATCCAATGGAGCCCAATAGGTAATGACATTCCCATCGAGATTTGTGAACTATTTTACCCACAATCACATTCTTTAGATAATAAAATATCTGTTTTTCTGTCAAAGTTGATGCATTGACATAGTTGCTATGTAAACAAATTGAGTTTTTGACATTTGATGGTCTCGTAACCTTAGTAATTCTTCACAAATTACTTCCCGACCATGGGATGTAATAACAAACTTCTGTAATTACTGTTCAAAACAATGGCGAATGCGCCGGGAAAACAAGTTTTACAATTTTTTAGCAATAATAATAAACTTATACCTTACTTTCGTTTAAGACTCATACTTAATTTTTTTTTTTTTGATTTCAAAGTTGTTGATTTTTTTAACATAATAAAATAAAATAAAGTTGAATATTAGCGTAAAAATAATAATTTTTCGTTTTATAAATATCACAAATGCACAGTTTTTTCTTGAAATAAATGTTTCAGATTTGTGCTATTCAGTTTAACAAAATAAAATTTCTCGTTGTATTACATTTTTTAAATTCTGAAGAGCAAAAAATATCTCTCTCGAGAGTAAAAAGTGTGCAACTTGTGCAGTTTTAGAGAACAATGAAATCGTTGTATTTACCACCGGTCATAGATCATGAATTGTTTAAACATCGGATTTTGTCCCTGTTTCAGGATAATGGGCGAGAGGCTTTGGATCTCACGGCCTCTCCGCTGCGAGCGCCTCCGGCCCCTAATAACCGGACCAACCATCCGCCCATGGTCATTCAGGGAGACTTCAGGAAGGTAATTGCGAATTGACATGTTGATAATGGGGCGAATTCGACAATTGTCCGATTTGGAAAACGCAATCAATAACCGAAACCTATTGCTTAATGTATTTTTAATGAACGTAATTACATTTTTATGCCCTATGTTAAATATGTTAAGTGGAGACGTGTAATTTACCGAATTTTACTCCAAACAATCAAACGGCAAATCGATTACCTATAAGCCACTAAAAAAGGAATAGCAGAGGTCATTTAGTAAGTAATTTCTAAATTATTCACGAGGCTTAATATTCAAATTAACAAATTGGAATAAAAAGTGTACGAGAGAGGTCTACAGGACCGAATTTTTGTATATGAAAGTTATAATTAACCTTCTTCAAATTACAAAAATAACTAAAAATTGCTCAATTGCAGGTATCGGGAATTAGTAGTGACATTTTCAAGCAGATAGAAGCCGTAGAGAACGATCACGATGCTTCAACCGCGGCCGCCTTGGAGGTAAGTCCCTCCTTCCTCCATCGAGTAATAAATTCAAGGCTTTGAAGTCTCAAATGTAATCGAGTRATTTTCCCCTAGCACGTGGAAAGGCTCGGTGAGATGATAGTCCGAATTCTGGATTCGCGTCATTTGGGCCGATCGGCGGGAGATGCTGCAAAACGCTTTCTGGCAATGCAAGATGCCAAACACACGGTGCAGTTCGTGGAAATCGTCAAAAGGCCCGGCCAAACCCTGGGTCTCTACATCCGAGAAGGCAACGGAATCGACCGGAACGACGGCGTATTCATATCGAGAATAGCTCTGGAGTCTGCCGTCTACAACAGCGGATGTCTTAAGGTGAGACAGTAGACTCGAAAAATTGCGCGACTATAAATAACGCGTTAATCCCAGAAGGGAGTAAGTTTTAATTGAAGTGAAGACAATTTTCGCTGAGGGTACCGCCGGGAGAAGAAAAACGAGAAATAGAGCAATCAGGATTTGACTTGGCGATACAGTTTTACCATCGACGGATTTTTACAGTGGAGGGAAATTATTAATGAGCTTTTCCAAGAAATTTAATAAGTGTTCGCGGAGAAATCTTCCAGCAGAAGTTAACGCGTTTCAAGTYACTAGGRATAAAATCGCTTCTTTGATAGCTTGAGGAAACTTTACGAGATTATCAGTCTTTACACGTAATTTCTTATAATGAAAGCGCGAACTCTCCCAACGATTTTATATCTAATTACATTTATGGCTGATGTAAATAAGAGATTGGCGTCGTCTGACGGTGTCAATTCTGTTCTCGAGTTGATTAGGAAAATAAAAAACTATGCGGTTTCATGGCATATCCAATTTGCTCAATTGTAATTTATTTGGTAGAAATCAAAAATTGAAATATTACAACTGGTTTAATTGAGACGTAATTGTTGTACTTTAAATCTAAATACTAATAAAAGTTATTTTCAAATTCAATGTTTTTTTTTTTTTAATGTAAATACATACAGAGTGTGCCAGAACTCGCGCCCCAGAAAAAATATGTAAGGTAGGATACCAGGAACATGGAAAAAATGTTTAAAAAATTCTATAAAAATTTCGAAGTTATAAGAGTTTACATTTTGCACTTTGACTCTATTTATTTCTATTGGAAAAATAATTTTCCAAGTTTTTTTCCTACACACTATAAGAAAAGGAAACAAGAAAGCTGTATGCTAAATTGTAACTCTGTTTAATGTTATTTATGGCTTTTATTGGAAAAATTGGAAAAATTTTTGTACCTTTACTAAATAATTATAAAAAAAAACATATACGAGATCATCAGAATCAATATCAATAGACATAAAAAAAATTCAAATGTCAAAAAATAAATGTAAACATTTTTTGACAGATAGATTTTTTTAAACATTTTTTCCATGGTATTTTATCCTACTTGAAATTTTTCTCTGTGGCGCAATTTCTGTACACCCTGTAAACTCGTACAACGCCTTGACAAACTTTCTTGAATTTAAATAATTCTAAATCTAAAACAAAATTTTTAATTTTATTGAAAACGTACTTTATCAGAATTTAATCCTTCAGAAACTTTTCGAATGATACAAAAGAAATTAAAATTAAAACAATAATTCTTGGACGTAAAAAGCACATATCAATATAAAAATAATATTTATTAAAACAAGTATTTTATTTTTACAAAAATAATAAAAAAATACTAAAAAATCAAAATTTTAGTGTAAACCAACATATAAAAATTCCATTATTTATATTTTTTAGTAGTTTTTTTTCTTTTGGTTTTCCTCTTTTGTCAAATGTATTTCACGTAGGTGGAAAATAGTTTTGAGAAATAGTGAACAGTATATTACAGTACGAGTGGAAAAACTAAAAGATTCCCCCACGCGTGTGTCGGATTCACACACGAGACGAACCCGAGTGTGGAATAACCCACAAGTGTGTGAATTAGTTTCTCACGAGTGTTGTACAGCGTTTTGTTCAATCCTGTCAGTGAATTTTGGAACACAATTGAAATTTTATAATTTGTGCAATTTATATCATAAAACATAGCGAACACATTCGTTGTCATTACGTGAGGTAAAAGTGTGAGGTAAAACAATAAATAAATAAACATGTTGAACAATTCTTTGAGTGAGGTTAATGAGTGGGCAAATGATTACCTCACACTTTTACCTCACGTTGTCATGAGTGAGCAAAACAAGTACTTTTTTGTATCCTAGTGAGAAACGACAAGTTTCGATAGCAGGAGTGAACAAATACATTTGAGAAAAGAAGAAAACCAAAAGAAAAAAATTGTATTTTTCAACGAGTGAAAAAAATTGAAAAAAAAAATTTCTTACGAGTTTAATACTATACTTTTTATAATCTTAAATAATGACAAATATTTTTTCTTTTTATTATTATTATTATTTAATTTTCACAACAACTGTTTCTCCACAGTTATTGAAGATTGAATAACTTTCTCAACTGAAAACGGTTGAAAAAATAAAATTTTTTTAACATGATTACAAAAAATAACATTTATTTTTTGAAGAACATGCACGAAACAAAAGTCATGTTTTTTAAATTTTGAAGACCCGTAACTCATGTTCGGTAATTTTTTTTAGAAATAGCAACATGGATCCTTTTCAAAACCAACTTGAAAATAATTTTTCGTAGGTGGGTGACGAAATTCTGGCGGTGAACTTGGTGGACGTGACCCACATGAGCCTCGACGACGTCGTCATCATAATGTCAATCCCTCGTCGTCTCGTCCTCGCTACCCGTCAGCGCAAAGGCAGCAAAGGAGGCCAAAGTTCGCCCAACGTACAGCCCCGATCCGAACACAAACCCCCTCCCGTGGTTGTGATAAAACGCGACTTACGCGAAGACGAAACCGACGAAGGCGATCTCGGACAACACAGGTACTCCTCCACGTCCCAAAAGCCCAAATTTTGAACCCCTCTTGCAGGGAATCCATGCGTCAGAGACACACCGGCGACGGCCGCGAGATGAGCGAGTCCAGGTCGCGCCTCGGCCTCGGCCTCCCTTCCATGGACTCGCGTCACTCGGCCCAGGACAGCAACGGCCTGGACTTGTACTACAACTCGCGCCCCCCCGACTCCAACTGGGGGTACCAGCCGCCGCCGCCGGTCATCACCGAGCAGCCCAAGTCCAGCATGCAGCATTTCCAGCCCTACGAGCGCAACTACCCCAACACTCTGGAGAGCCTCGCCGAGAAGGTGCACTCGTTCGCGCTGCCCGGAAGGAGGATGTCCGCCGGGGCGCAGCCCTTGCCCTCAAGGTACTCGTGTGGTGTTGTCTCGGTGGTTGTTACGCCCCCCCTATTCCAGATTATCATCACAACAAAGCCCTTCATCTCATTATTACGTTCAGCACACCGGAACGGGTAGTCGGCGCATTATGCCCCGTTCCGGATCCGATCAGCACCTCCCCCATACGGAATACTCTGATTATACCAGTATCACCCAAGCTGGCAGACACAGCCTTTTAAGATCTAGCCTCAAATCTGGATCAACTCTTAGCAGGTACAACCAGAGATACGTGGACCAAGCGGCTGTGGCTGCACAGATGGGGCAAGCCAAGTATGCCTCCGCAGGGCAATACGCCACCAGCAGCGCCCTGTCCAGGAGAAACAGGAGCAGTCTGGACTATTCCAGCGACACAGAGGCTACAGTCGGGCCCAGGAGCAGCTACTACTACTACAGGTAAGCAGTTGCAAAATACAGACAAACGCTTAATTGCTTTTCAAACTGGTCCAATGAGACAAAACGGCTGACCCAAGCAAAGACACAGTACCCAATAATTTTTTAAAAAACGAGTTTTTTACATATATTTATATTTTCACTCTAGCATTCATTTAAATACTCATTAGTAATTACCCACTTGTTTAAAATTAATAAACAAAACTGTGTTTTCAAAAATTACTACAGCGCAAAATTACTTTTCCCAGTGTAAAACACAGTATCTACAATTACGTACGATTATACTTGTACTTCATTTTTTAAGTAGAAATAACTCAAATAAATGTGAAAAACTATATTTTTTTAATTCGATAATAACAACATAAATTTACATAACAATAGTTTTAGTTGTTAGTTTATATCTGCCACATCTCTGTTCTGGGTTAAATCTACAGAATGGTCGTTTTCTTTTAGAATTGAAAGAGTTGAAGGTAACAAAGTTGCTTCCTCAATTGTAAAAAAGTTGTAAATCAACTACCATCATCAGCATAAGCTTAAATTATATTAAAAGATCACACTAGTTTACACGATTGATATACCTTAGCTGGTGCCAAACAAAACTGCCAAACAAGGTAATAAAAATGCGTTGTTTTACTTCGTTTTTTTATACTTTTTTGCGTCAGTTTTCATTATAACAGTCCAACAGTAATCTCCTAACATACATATTTTTACCCCAAAAACCTTTATACAAATCTTTAAAAACGCTTCAGATCTTGATTAAAACGTTCGCTTTGTTCGTCACTCATACTGCCTAAGTTTTTAGAAAAGAAGTCAAAATGAGTGTCAATAGAATCTAATTAGACTCATCTGATGATAATTTTGCAATAATTCAGCAACAATTCCAATTTTAAATAAATTTTAAATCGGAGGCATTTGTGGAAAAAGCAGAGAAATTATCGTTAGTAACAAAAAACTATGACGTAATAAATAGTATATTAAGTATTAAGAACGGACATTTTACCGATCGAAGGCAATTGTTTATTGTCTGACATCGGTAGTCCTTAACGTTCGTAATGCTTATAACGTTTTTTGCACAATACAAACATTTTTACCTTGATCTGAATAAATTATTTGAATAAAAATGTCAATTGTGTAATTTCATTTTACCTAAAGTGTCTCCACGGTGTTTCACGAATTGTTATAAATTGAATGAATTATTGTTAACAGTAGTTGAGGTTGAGGTTGCCTAGACGAAAGTTTCAAAAAATACACCTATGAAAAAACAGCTTTGAACATTTCATGAGTTTTCTCAAAAAGAATGTGTGATTCAGACTCGAATCGAACAAGCTTGGGACATTGGTTGTTCATCATTCATTCCTGAGAAATGAAAATTTCGATATAAAAATACCTATAAAATCTTTAAAAGCTGGTGTGAGGAAAAGAAAAATTTGTGAAAAAATTACTGAAAAAAACTACTGACGACGCCGGAGGATTTACGTTGAACAATTTCTCTTAGCGCTACTACCAAAGAAGCCAGAGAAATTACAATTAGTAATTGTAGTAGTTGTACGTTTAATTTTAATATGAAATAATTTGTTGGCATTGTAATGTTTATAATAATGTTTATGCTATCAATAAATGTTTTGTGGATTTTATCTGATTAATGTTTGAAATTACTTACCGTTCTAAAACGGTTTTCTGTTTATTATACAACATACCAGTCTCGAGACAAATGCGGCAACTAACTAAAAGCGTTCTAGCATGCAAAAAAAAAGTAATATATTTGTTTAATTAAAGCTAAATAACCATTAAAATAAAAAAATAATTAAAGGCATCTTAAACAAGTTATTATTTGTAAACTAGTGTATTATCACAAAAATTATTAAAATTTCGTTTAGAACTAAATTACTTGAAATTACTTGAACTAAGGAATAAGAAATAACTCATAATTCCTGTGGCTTTTAAAAAAAATGCAAAAATAAAACAGAAAAGGCGGTGTAGCCTACAGCTTCCCAAAATGATTAAGACATTTTGTCATTTTCTATCTATGGTTCTTGATGTGAAAATATCCAAAACTTCCGTAAAAGAATGATTTCCTACAAAAAAGCAGAGACGAACAGTTGACAGATATTGTATTCATATTTAATGTTCGAACTTTATTTTAAAATAAAAATATAATTGTTAATCAAAAAAAAAAAAAAAAATACACCTGCTATTGGGACACCCTACCCTTTATCAGTACTATTATTATTAACTAATTGCTTTTGTACTGAAAACTGCTTGAAATTGTATTTACTTTATTTCAATTTTAGAGATGAGCTGTATTTGCAAAAATTAAACTAGGTAATAAAAAACGCAGTATCTGGTAAAATTTTCACTATGTTGTACATACTTTTACTTTTTTATCTTAAATTGTCTTTAAATAATAATATTTGCAAGTTAAACAATAGATGTGGAAAGCAAATCATTCTGGAGAGCTGTTTAAATAAGTCATTTTTGGTTCCAATAAAATCAGATACTGTGCTTTAGCTTTGGACAACCGAAAAGTAGGTAATGTGCGTCTTCAATAGTTATGCATTAATAAATACAAAATTGCCAAATAGCGTAGTACTACTTTTATTATTATCGTATCTGGTCTTCGACAGGCCATAAATCCCCTTTCTGTGTGTTGAACCCCCAATGTCAAAATCACTTTGTCGATACAGGAATCAGAGTTCAGTTCCCCACAGTACAATCCCCACATTAGGAAGGCAGAATTCGCTCACATCCGCCGACATTACAACAAAATTCAACTCCCTCCCCCGTGATACGCGAGCCTCAACTAGGTGAGAGATTCCCTGTGAATTTTCAAAGCGGAACCTGTTATTACATAATGGTTGCTTTTTAGATTGGCCATGAATAAAAGATTCGGGGATAGGAACGTCGCTCTTTTGCAAGATGAATCGGACGGAGCACTCTCCGCACCCGAAATGCCTTCGATACGAAGGGATAGGGGTAAGCCAGCCTTGCCACCTTGCAAAAATAATATTCGAACATTTAACTAATGTACAAGAGGGAACTCGACCCATACGGATCGATTTTAAACCGAATATCCACTGCACGCTTTTAGTACCTATCGATCCGTATTTTTGAAAGCACTTCTGTTCTAATTACACCAAACACTCGTCACACAATCATTAAATCACCAGTCCACTCGAAAGCGGCCCGATTTCGGGCCGCTTTCACCCCAATCACTGCTTCTTTCTACACGTTTCATTTTCATAAAAAGGGCGGATACCCTCGTCACCTAGTGTATTCACTTCAGATGAGTACAGACAGTGGTTGAGTCGCACGCCTTCAACGTCGGCTATTTACGAACAGATCAGAGCGTCCCGAGACGTCTTAAACCAACAAAGAGCAGCGAGATTCACTTACAGCGCCGAAAACATCCACGATGCACTGAAAAACGTAATTTTCCAATTACCGCCCCCTCAAACCATACAATTCTAACCCTCCTGTGTTTTTGACAGATTGAAGGAGGCTACTACAGCTCCTACAGCCGGCCAAGTACTACATCAACATTAGACAGACATTTCACACGATCACAACATCCCTCAGCCCCCGCTCGATCATTATCAACGCAACACATTACCTCATCATCACGTAAGAGAGCCCCCATAAAACGCATTGTTTTTCAAAAATCAATTGCAGCGTTGAGTTCGTCGCGGTCTCCTTCCATGAGGCGCATGAGACAGCTTCTCGATCTCGATTCGGTGAGGTCGGGGGCGGCGCCGAGTCCTGTTCCTACGCCGAGTGGTACCTTGCCGAGAGGACATAGACAATTAGATATAAATCCCGCGGAGTTTTTAAAATATAAAATTGAGAAACCGGGTCTTCCGAGTGCGGGGACGACGATACCGGGTTTAGCGGCGTTGGGGACGAGCGCCACGCTGGGGACGGATGAGCCAGTGAGTGGCATGCTGTGGGTGCATTTGCTGGCAGGGAGAGGCCTAAGGCCCTCGACGGGGACGTCGGCCGCCACGACGCCAGTTACGCCAAGTGGAACATCACCGAGTATTACGGGTTAGTATGACAAAGTTTTCAAAGTGGCAAYTGTGGCATAGCTTCTGAATTTCTAACACTTTTTGAGGATTTTAGAAGTTGTTAAGAAAAAAGAAAATTTTTATATATTGTATTTGCTATAAAGATTTTAACTATTACTTATAAACATTTTGACGCAAAAAATTTTTATGGGGCGACAATGACACGAAAAATTCTTTGTACAAGAACTTTATTTGACTTTGCTGTTTAAAATTTTGATATTATTAAGATTAATTATTACATTTCGAAAACTATTCTGTTGTTTGATACATGTTTTGTTGCTTTCTAAGTTAGTTGACATGTAAAACAACAAACACCCAGTAAAAATTTAGTTTGTCCATAAAATATGACAAAATTTTCACATATTTCTTCACTTCACCGGATACTAAACTCAAGTTAAAAAATAATAACTAAATATTAACATCCATAAAACTTCGTTAATAATACTGCAATTTGTATTAATTTGCAAGCTACGCCACTGGTTGGCAATATTGTCCCTTAAATTCCATTAAATTGACTTTTTCTAACCTCTCTGTAATAGGTCCGACCGGTTTACGTGATTTGTATTGTGTCCTGGAATGCGACCGTGTCCATAAAGCGAGAACAGTGGTAAGTAATTGGGATTAAATGGTGAGTGAAACTGTTAAATCCTGCGCCTTTATTAGGTAAGGACAGGCGATTTAGTGTTCGACTGGGATGAAAGCTTCGAATTGGATTTGGTCAACAACAGAGAACTGGACCTGTTAATTTACTCGTGGGATCCACAATACAGACATAAATTGTGCTATAAAGGATCAGTATATTTACCAACACTCTTAAAATCAGGACCTATACATCAACTCGCACTTAAAATCGAACCGCGAGGAACTCTGTATTTGAGATTGCGACATACCGACTCACAAACTCTTTATAGACGGAAACCGTCATCGAGTTTAGCCTTGTCGAGGACTGCACCGTTGTTTGGTGTCGATATAGAGACTGTTGTATGTATTTTGAAAACACCAAATAAGAATTTTGGTGATATTTGGCGAWTTTCAGGTCAATCGGGAGAGCAAAACTGGRGGAGTTCCAGGTGGTGTAGCYACSGGTTTAGTTTCWAGCACTCAACAAATTCCTATTATTATAAAACGATGTGTAGAGGAAGTAGAACGAAGAGGTTTAGATATCATAGGTGGTATAATTTCAAATTTTGGATGACAAAAACGTGACTGGTGTTTTGCTAGGTTTATATCGTCTTTGCGGATCAGCAACAAAGAAACGTATCCTTAGAGAGGCCTTCGAACGTAACAGTCGATCAGTAGATTTAAGCCCCGATAACGTTCCCGATATTAACGTGATAACGGGAGTTTTAAAGGACTATTTGCGAGAACTTCCAGAACCGCTCTTCACCAAATGCCTATACCAGATGATGGTCGATGCTCTTGGTGTTTGTCTTCCCGACGATCCGGAAGGAAACGCCAAGCTCATGTTCTCCATTCTGGATTGCTTGCCACGAATCAATAGAGTGAGTGAATTTATAATCAAGGATCCAAGCACCTTTTTTTCCATTTTTCTATATTGAATAAYGAGAATTGCAAACAACCTATATGCATTTTTGTCAGGTATATCTTTCTCTGTTTCTCTCGAGTGTTTGGATCCCTTTTTTTAAGTTGACCCTTTGTGTTCTAGGMCACTTTGATCTTCCTGATGGACCACTTGGCTCTAGTGGTTTCGGCGTCCGATAGGAACAAGATGTCTGCTCAAAATCTGGCGACTGCCCTCGCTCCACCTCTCATGTTGCAGTCGAGTGACACTTTGACGCCGACTGGAAAGAGTTTCGAGTTGGACTACCACCAGCCGATCAATGTCCTCAAGTATTTGCTTCAGATCTGGCCCACTCCCAAACATCACTCAGGTAATGTGTAGTTTACCGTTGCGAGAACATTTCCATGTACTACACACGAAACACAAAAACTCGATCCGTATGGTTCCCGTCTTGTACTCTCGGTGTAATGGTAGTTAGAATTGGTGTGGTTGGGTGTCGATGGTATTTAGAGGGGGCCTTTCCAGACAGGTCGTCGCGGCAGGCCACCCGGGCCGCGTGGAGACAATCGCAGTGCGTGTCCTCAGGGACTGCAGCCCCAGGTGCGAGAGCAGTCTCGGCTCTCAGCGGCTCCGTTTCCTCCTCCTCCTCGCTCAGCAGTCTCGGGCCCACGAGGCCCACAGCCACAGGGCCCATCACTCCAGATACTAGTAAGTACAAACAATAAAAAGTCGTTTTTCATAAACGTGATTAGTGCAGTGAGTAGGATAATTCCTCTATTTCCGCTTCTAGGGCCAATCATCAGCAAGCAAAGGTCCTTACCGTCCGCTCTCTCCACGAGTCGGTCCACCAGCACCAGCGGCCGGCCTCAAACCTCGTCAGGTGATAGTCTCTTCTCCAGGTTCGCCAAGCAGCAGTAGCGATTCGCAATCGGGTTCCGACTCCGTTAAACACTGCCTGCCCAGCCGTGTAAGTTCGCCGGCCATCCGCGCCTCTCCATCCAGCCAAACGATTCTGCGAACCTCCCCCTCGGTCACCATCAGCTCTCCCGGCATCCGCAATTCCCCATCGACCACTTCCGTCAACTCCCCCGGCCCTCGCAACTCCCCCTCCATCTCTAGTCTCAGTCGCGCCTCGCCCTCCATCCTGGGAGGAAACGTCTCCCGCTCTAGTTCTCCCGCCATGCAAGCCACTTCGGCGGGACTGAACGTGACTTTGGGCACTACAACTCCCAGTTTCTCCACTTTGAGTAGTACTAGTACTACTGCGAGTTCCATGTTTGGACTGAATTACGCTCCGACGACGTATGCGAGTACTAATCCGTTTTTGACGGGGGCTTATTTGAATTATACGCCGGGGGAGATGAGTTTCGGGGATAAGTTTAACACTATTGGAGGAATGAAGGAGACCAAGTCGTTCTTTGAGAGTTACGGAAATGATTCAAAGTATTCGACCAAGTCGAGTTTTGAGACTCCGGAGTCGATGTTCGCAAGTGACACCAAATACAACACCATTGGAAGTAAATATCCAGAAAAGACGAGTTATTTGAGCACCACTTATAGTTCCGAATTGAAATATAGTCCAGGAAAAGAAACCAAGTCTGGTAGTAGTTATGATACGAGTCCGAATGTGACTCAGAGCAATTCTTCGGCTTTGTTGAGTATTGAGGATACTCCAACTCCAACCAGTAGTATTGAAACTGAAGACAGCAATACTCGAGAGGTTGGTGAAAAGGATGTGGAAGGTGACGGTGAACAAAGCGACTGAATCCATAGCGCGGTTTGGGCACAAAACACTTTTTATTGGTGGCAGCACTGTATAAAAGACAAAATTTTTAGGGTAATCACCATCGATGTAATTTACCATTTGATCACATGATGACTATAAATACGAAACAAAAAATCGGTTAGGATACAATATATGTACTTGCTTATTAGAATCAAATTAAATAGGATCATTGTTAACTAATATTTAAATTATATACGATATACATATTTTAGTTGGTAGATTAAATAAATATTTATTGAATAGAGAGGTATCTAAGTGGAAAATCTAGACAAATGATTGTTGCGTGTTGCACAATTTTATCGGTTTATTATTTCAAAGTGTGATATAATCACCCCTTGTTTTCGACATTGATGTTAATTGAGTTGATTTTTTACTTGGAATAAGTGACAACAAACTTGCAAATAAGATACAATTCTAAATCTATCGAAAAATTTATAACGGACTTTCAGATTGCGAAAGTTATAAATATGGTACGACAACAAACAAAGAGCTCATTTAAACATTAAAAAATGTTTTATTTATTAAAAACAATTTTGACTAAAATATTTAAAAATTAAAAAAAAATTATTTTAAGTTAAAAAAAAATTTCAAATGCATTAAAACCAATCTGTAGAAAGTTTATTTGTAACTATATACGAGTACGTATTTAGTATAATACTATAAAGAAGAAAACAAACAAAAAATTGTTGACTCCAATCATTAAAGTTGCAATTTCAACGTTTCTTCTTATACTTTCAATTACAAGCTATTTAGTCATATTTAATCAGTGAATTTAAAATTTGAAATTCTTAAAAATTTGCTTTTAATCGAAATTTTTTAAATAAATAAATACCTAATCATGCCTTTATATCCTAAAATCAAACAAAATGCATTCAACTTAAAACGTACCTAATCTAAATGATATTAAAACTAAATAGAAAAAAGCATAGCATTAATAAATAAGTGTCTCGAAACAATTATTTACATTAAATTGGTACTAGGTAATTAAAATAAAAATGTTTCAAAACCATAGCTAGGTATATTTTTGAAAGATTAAGTAAAAATTCAGTTAAAAGTAGAAATTCTGCATCCATATTTAAATTCTATCTTAGATTTTATTCTCTTTATTATAAAATTTTGATTAAAGTACTAATT